CTCATTGCAGTTGCTGGATGAAATCCCATCTGGGTAGAATTTCAATGTGCTTGTGTAGGTTTACTCTGGGTACTGCTGTTTCCTCATCCCATATTTTCTCCCACAGTCTCAGGTCTACATACATAGAGATCAGGTGCATTGGCTATGTGAAATTGTGTCTGTGTGTATGATGTGCAGCTGTGGAACTTGTCCATCTGTATTTGTACCCTATGATGTGTTTGTGCCTTGTCCAGGGTGTCACCCTTCCCGTCACTGGAAATGGGCACCAGATCGCTGTGACCCAGAAATCTGAAATAAGCTGGTAATGAAAATGTGAAAGCTACTAAACTTACTTCACCAACTTCAAACAGAGCAGGTCAACTGTTTCGAAATGCTGAAACCATTGGCTCCTGAAGAACTTCTTGTCTTCTATAGGAGAAAGTTCTGTGCATCTTTTCCTCATTATTTCTTTTTTTTTTACCTCTGTCAAAAGTGCAACCCTTTCCATCTCTAGGCTGTCTGTGGTTTCACCTCTTGGATGGCTGGGACAGAAATTAACCTCTGCTTTCTGAGGCTTCTTTATATTTGCAGCTGGTTTACCCTGGCCTTTTCTTTTGTTCTTAAAGGAGTTGATAACAACTTCTGGGTGTCCAACTCGACCAAGCTTTGTGCGGAAGTTCATCATCTTGATCTTTATACAGTGCTTCCAGCCATAATACCCAGTGCTAGTTCCTTTTTCATACAAGCATGGGTGTGTCTTTATCAAGGCCTTAGCAACTTCTTCAATTTGATCATCCTTTGGATATGCCGTGTACTTAATTATTTCTTCTGCAAGGCCTTCGAGAATATCTGATCTAACCTTTGTAGTAAGAGATAGTAGAGTTCCATTCCCATTGAATTCAACATTTCCCTTCTGGAGCTGCATCTCTGCACAATATGAAAAGCATGGTATGACAAAGGTTTGAGGCCAAGAGCAGGAACGGGACTCGGGACATGATGTCAACATAACAGCATCACTGCTGCTAAGCAAGTCGATGGATGTTGAATCATTTGGTCCCTGTGAAGAGCTGGTGGAGGGACAAGGGGGTGTTACTGGAATTGTGGTGCAAGTATCTGCATTAACAGGATCTGGGATTAAATGAAAGTGTCAGAAGGCAAGTATACAACTTTTAAAGTACTTCTATCTTGAATGTCCGAAATGGATAAGAGGTTCATAAATTCATTTCCAAAATCTATGTCTTTGTACTGAATTCTGAAATCTTCAGTTACTCCAAAAACAGTCTTAATTTCACAAGCCAATTTTTCCACAGATGCTGGCATCCCAGATTCAATTGTTAGCTTTCTTGCATCGTCTTCACCTTCAAAAAGGACTCTGAAGTTAACTGGTACTGGCATCTTGTTTTTTTCAATCTAGAGAACAGAAACATAGCCACACCATTAATTTAGCAATCCTAAATCATTACTACTTCATAATCAAAATATAACTATCATATGTGTGATACATGCTAGCAGTGGTTTCTTGTTTAATTGAGCCTGCTCTGGTTAAGAATACTGTATGTAAACTACATGCACATCAAATCTGAAAACATTTTTGTAACAAGAGCTGTGAATTGCTTGCTATATAATAATGATTTTATACCAGATTTGCTAATGCTGCAGTACAACTAAACCCTACCTTTGATGACAATGTTTCTCTTCAGAGTTACCATACACTTAGTTCCAACTGTGTAGGCCACAAGTGGATAGCAATCGGTCAGCTCCTCAAGCTGAGCCAGGGCAACCTCTTTACCTGGTGACAACGTCAACTCAAAAGCTCTAAAATGATCTCTATACCAAGCGCAAAATAAACGCACAATAAAACTCAAAGCATCCCCGATTATGCACATTTGTATTATCTCTGCAAATTCTGGCATTCCAGCAGTTGAACCATATGCAACTACCATTCCAGTTCTGTAATTAATTCCTCTAGTGGTGACATTTTTTGCTAGATGAACTTGATTGATGTGTGGATATTTCTGCCTGAGAGCCAATACAATTTCCTTATTCAGAACATCAACCTGTACAGCTGAAACTTCCTTAACTTCCAAATGTATTGGATTAAGACTGGATGAATATATGTGGTAACCGATCAGTTGCTGGTGTCTGACTGCCAGTGAGTGTGGAATATTCCGGAAATTATTTGTGTGTCGGGCAACTTGTTTAAAGAAGCTATGTTTAGCTTTGAATCTCATAGTCCATACACCTACAAGAGGCCCAAAGCATCTAATCAAATATGGGTAATGCTCAAGATAGTGGTGTTTGGGTAAAAGCTTTCCATCGGGGTTAAGCTCAAGTAGCCTCTGTCTGTGCTCACACACTAACTTCAAGGTAGGCAATTGTTTCATCAGTATGAACAGGTGCCACTACTAATTCTACAATTTCCTTTAGATCTAATAAGACTAGCCAAGCGAGCTCATCCTCATTTATAATGTCTCCCACTAGAAATGGAAGAAAACGTATTAAGTTCCAATTCTCATGGGCGGTGCCACCTATTGTCTTCTTCCATAAATAGCTGTGTGGTATGATGTGAGATCAATTTTTTTTGTCACTCCACTTGTAAGGAAATTTGAGGATGTGTGTGTTAAGACATTCAAGAGTAAAATACTTCTTTGAGATCAAAATGTTCAAACAAAGAGCCACTTCAAATGGGACAATGCCTTCAAATAAATCATGCACTATATCTGGGGGATAGCCTGTACTAACATGAAAATAATGAAGATTTTCAGTTAAAGGGCATGCTCTCTTCACTCCAAAGCAATTTGTTTTTGTTTCCTGGGCAGACTTCACATGCAATTCATGTATTTCTTTGGTTCGAAGCACAAAATCCCCTGAATGAACATCCTTTAATTGAATATCTACTTTTTGAGCAGTACAAAATCTGCAAATATATGGCCCAGAAAAGCTCTCAACAAAACCAGCCAATCCATGGGCTCCCAAATTATCAGCTATAACGCTATGAACTGCTCCTTTTATGCACCTTCCAAGCTTTGATATAAACACACCTTGCTCTTCTAAAGTTAAAAGGTCTTGCATAAGTGGCTCTAATATTTTACCATAGCCATATACCTTGACATCATCACTTTTGCACAAAACTGTCAAATAAATTGAAGAAAGAGCTGAATGAGACCCTGATGGTAAGTTACTGAGGATCCAGTAAACACTACACAATTTGTGCTTCTTTCTTGATGTCCCCAGTGGATTGCAAAGCTCAAAATCACAAAAACAAGAAAACAAGGTAATTTAGGCCGTTATTAAGAAGTGATGTTTTCAAATTGGTTAAACATTGCCACCAGCAACTCTTAGGAAAAAAATCACCTACAACCACTATTTGCAACTGTGCTTTAGGCATGTTACTCTTATTTATACATTTAATGGTTTCTTCTGGATCTCAAAATGAGCTTCACTTAGTATTAATATTACAAAATTCAATTTCTGAATGCTATAAACCATGTTTTTGCAGCCTATGTATTTACAAATCCTAAGAGGTTGCCCTGTCTTTCAATTTGATTTAGTAGATGGAGATTCAAAGAACCAGTGCCTGCAAAAGAAAATATATCTAAGTAAATGCATAATAGATTTATTAGGTAAAAATGATAATAGTAAAACAAAGATTTAACTTTTGAACATTTACCATTAATAAAATACAAAATGCAATGACAACATATTACATTTCAAGGTTTTTGACTCACTTCCATAATTTAAATAAACAAAATAAATAGTTTTTATATTTATTGCAATTGTAACATAATTATTTCTAATTACTGAAATACTCACACATCCGAACAAAAACAATCCATACAAATGCACTGCTAACCTTAAATCTTAATCTATTTGTGTTGAACCCAACTGTAAACTGCTTAAAATCCTGCTACTTGTATACCCTTTGTAAAAAAAAAAAAAAAAAAGTTTACGGCGAGCAGATAAATGTTCGTGTAAAGTTTCACCACGGCACAATATGCTTAAAAAAACTTGGTATAGAAAGATTATACAGCAATGAATAGTTTTAGAAAATGCTATGTTCCTTACTTCTTATATCACGGACATTTTTAATACGGAAAAACACTACCGATTGAAAAACATTCAAATGAAACCGAAACTGCCGCTTGTGATACTGCATTGTTAAAACTTTGCATATGAACAACATAGTTATTTTATGTAAAATAGACATAATCGTTTAATTCAACGTAAAGACGATTATTTAACACACCTCTTGTATGAACAACATTCACTGATTTACCGATGTTCTGAAAATGGCGCGGTCAAGTGAAAACTACGAAATGACGCAAGGCGAAAAAACAACTGTCTTCTGCAGGCTGATTGGAAGTAACCAATTCAACAGATCATAGAACAAATATTACATTCGGGAATTTTATGTGTGTGCACAATCGAAATGACAGAGTAACGATATACGAAACCTCGTAATTTTAGATCTCCAATTACTCAACGTTAAACGGTAAAACTGTTGGAAGGGGACCATAAAAAAAAACCATTCCACCCGTTTATTCCAGGGAGGGTCATCACTGTATGTGTTTTATTGTTTAACTGCTAATGAAAAGCCTGCATGTGCATGAATCACACACTGCTTGTCAGAAGTCGTAAAAGCCTGGCCCATAGTTATCGATATAGTTATCAGATTCGTTTTCTCTGGCCAAACGATATTTAATGCACTCGATAGTTTCTCTACAATTCAATATACCGAAAAGCATCACATTACTTGCGTCCAATGCCATAAACAATTCTAAATTAGTCATCAATGATCTGCTTTTTCTGCTCCGCAAAAATGTGGCGCACATGCTAAAAAATAGTTGACGTTATATCGACGAGGAAACTCTGTCTATTTCATTACTTACTTGTTTATTACTTAATTATTACTGACTCGATCGTTATAAATTATACGTGGAGTAATTAAAAATAACGAGATGTTTAAGGACAGCTGATGTATTAGAATTGTGTGACGAATAGACGAAAATCTTCATATATTAAATTTAAGAGTGGGCACATTGATATTACATAATATTGACTGCACAAAAACGTTCATGAACAAATAGTAATCGATTAAATACGATAGATATATAGTTATATATATAAACTTACAGGTCACACTCGAGTAGGACTGCAGTCCGCAGATCACTCTCATGTGAGATGGCGGGAAGAATTCTGACATTTCCGCTTTGAAACGTGTCAATTCCTGAAATGTATATGCAATCCGATCTCATAGATTTTATTAAACTTAATCTTCAGTTATAACTATTTAAACAATTTACATGAGTTTTAATTGATTAAATTGAATGGTTCACAGAGTGAAGAGATTTATATTCATTCTAATGAATTTAAATGAATACATTTAAAAAATATAATGATTTAAATAAAATAAAATAGATGCAAATACTTAATAATAAGTGATGCCACGATTAATTTTTTTGAGTGTAAGGTAAAAATAAAAACTTTGGATGGATGTAGATTAACATGGTGAATAATTTTTATTTTGAATCAAGTCTTCTCCAGACAAATACAAAAGTGTAACAAAAAGTATGTCCATAACTGTCATGACCTGCTCGTATGACCCTCTCGTGTGCTGGAGGCTTCTTACTTGTTCCAGCTCCCCCATTCATTTTTATACCCTTTCTTAAGTTTAGTAGAAATTAATTGGAGGCTAACTAGGCGACTCTGTAGCTTGCAGCAGCTGGCGCGGTTGAACGTGTCATCCATCCTCTATTTTTTATGCCATATGATCTACCCACACTACCTTTGCGATCTACCAGTAGATTGCGATCGACGTATTGGGCACCCCTGGTGTAGACCATGTATACGTCAGAGTGTATCAT